AGCGAAGTGATGATTAGGTACCTCTTCGTTGGGACAAGAACTGATGTGTGAGCCACAGAGTTTCCGCAAGGTAGTCGACATTTCTTAACAGCTGTTATGTAAGCCGCCTCTTCACCTCGACAGAGTGGCTTAAGAAGGAGTGAGGACAACCTATCAAGTCGAAATAAAACAGTTTAAACAGGGCGACATTGGTCGCAGCAGAAATTTTAATAGGCAGTAAGAAGTAGGAAAGAAAAAGAGAGCTGATTTTTGGAGGACACAGAAAACGAAGTGGAAGAAACAATTTCGCGGTGCCTGACACGTTCTCAGGAGAAAATTTTCTTTTCATGTAGTACGAAAAATCGGTCGGGTATGAAGGCAGTGGTCAGTTTTACAGTATGTATTGGGGTGAAGAAGCATGGTACAGTGGNNAAGAGCAAATTATGGCTGGCTTAATAACGTGAAACATATTGGGACTATTTACATAAATACCTTCGAGATAAGCATTAGTTCGGGTTCGGCAATTGACACGGTTCACTAAACCTAGAGCAGTTAGAAAGGAGGTTGTAAAGCGCTTAAAGTCTCCAGCGGTAATGCACAAAGACTGGTCAGAGACAAGTGGTGAACTGTGTTACAATATAATTAGCAAACCGTCATATGTCAGGGGCGAGTGTATCAGGGGCAATATATGTATTCACAATGTAAATAAAGCGGAATCTCCTGAAAAAGGGGGACGTACAACATAAAGATACAAGTTATTTTGCCTGTTGAGGAAGCCACAATTAACTGAATGTTGTTACATCAACTTCGCTTAATGAAAACAACCACTCCGCTACTTCTGTTTCGACATTTCGAATTCCGGTCGCTACTGAAAACAGCAAAACCGTCCCCTCCAACCAAATCATCTTCAATATGTGTGTCATCAACTTTCCTTGAGTCAAATAATTCCCATACTTTTTCTCTGTTTCTGATGCACCTGCTTCTGGACGTCATCAATTTCTCCCTCTAGGAAACAAATGGTACTTGAAAAAATGGACAGGATCGTTAACGGAACTTCGCCTTATCTAACCCGCAAGCCAGCGTAAGTGCTTATTATGGTAATTTTGACTTTCATTTCTTAACCGCTTCTAATGAATCCTCACAAAATGAGCAAATGCTGAAATCCGGAAGTCATAGGCAAAAA